ATGGAGGAGCTGAGCAGCAATGTTGGGTCATTAACCTCCTCACCCCAAATTCCTCCTGCCTGCGCAGCTGCAGTGGCCGCACAGTGCCCCTCCGGCCTCCTCCTCTCTCTCCTCCAGCCTCCTCCTACCACTGCCTCCAAGGTGCATCCTCTGCTTGCCCGCCCGTGAGTTTTAGGCTGTTTCTGCTCAGGCTGGGGCAGGGGTGGGTGGTTTGCAGGAACTGCTCTGAGCATCCAGTCCTAGAGGAGAGCCTCTAACCTTGGTTAGCAAAACACCTCATTTTTTCCATAATACACCACCTGATAGCAGGCAATTTTGTCTTTCTTTTTTTTTTAAACATGTTACTGGCAGATGCCATTAACCGTGCAGCATTCTTAACGAAATAACACAACACCTGCTGCTTCTTGAAGGCATTTAACTCAAGCTATTTGGATCTCCATTTCCTTTTAGAGGGATTTCTATCTTTTACATCCCTTTGTTAAAGAGAAGACAACAAAGCTGAAAAACTGTAAAATGTTATGTCCAAGTATCTTAATACTGGTAAAAGTGGCTGCCAGTTTTAATTCTCTAAAGGATCATTTGGGAGTCACAATCTTCAACTTAACTGCACAAAAAATGAAAGGTACTGAAAAGAGTCCTTCTCCCATCAGCACTTTTTTTGTGACTAGAAGTGAATGAATACTTATATGAAAAAATACACACTTGGAAAAACTCATCAGAAAGAGCAAAAGAGAGGTCTGGGAGCTGGAGTTCTATGCTGAAAGAAAGGAAAATGATGAGTTATGTTTGTTTAGAGAAAGACGATGAATCTGTTCTTCCAGATAGAAATGATGGGCCTGTTCTGGGATGGTACTTGAAGGTGGGTATTTTATGGGAACAAAATGCTCAATTTCACCCCTAAATCAGAGCTTGGACATAGATAGTGTGTATCTACACAGAATACCATCCCTGTTCTGAAAACACATTTCTATGGAACCTCTGCTTTCATCCTAGAAACAGTAAGGGCTTATCTGGACTAGAAATGTATCCTTGTGAACATTGGCTTTTACCTAAGTGTGATATATTTTCTGAAATATTAGGTTAAACTGGAAGGAGGCATCCTAGTATTAGAATAAGCACCCAGAGATCCAAGAATAGCTTTTCCACATGGGAGTGGGTTGAAAGTTTTTGCCTGAAACATCTGGGAAGGAAAGTTCAGAAATATAAAGCCAAGTTAGGTGTGTACACTCAAATATTTTTCTGGTGATCTTCACCATTTCTTAAAAACTCTAAAGTATTTCTCTGTAACCCAAAAAAAAAAAAAAAAAAGCAAGCATGTTATATAGCCCTGAACTCTATAATCCTGCAGGGAGAGTGCAAGATAACTGGAAGAAGCTGTGTAATTAAGATATGGCTCAGATGTGCCTTGATAACGCAATTGTCAGTGGAATGATTTCATTCTCCTGGATGATGGTCAAAGACAGGTCCCGGCTCCGGCTCACTGTAAGGGGCTCCCTTTGTGCCTGCAGGTGAGTGCTCTGGGGAAGGTGATCCCACTGCCCACATGGGTGCTCACTGCTGACCCTGCATCGCCTCTGCGGCACCTCGCTCCGTCACCCCCCAGAAAGTACTCTGTGGGTAGATTTTAATCTGACCAACTAACGTTAATCTTTCCCACGTGAAAACTTCTGTGAATTAATGAATTTGCTGGCTCTGCTTACTTCCTCTGCCTGATATACACCACCTTGAAACATCCCTTGACACCACGATCCTGAGAATACCCAGGAAGCAAATTCATACAATTCATGGGAAGATGGTGATGTTCCTGTATTGCCCAAGTCCTATAACTCCACTGTGTGCAATTGGGCAGCACCAGGGGAATCAAGCATGAATACATTTACCAGGAGTTATTTATGAATTATGAACTGCCTCTATTACTATTTTTATTTCTTTTGTTAAAAATTATCCAGACGTTCATCATAAAACTAAAATCAAATAATGTAACAAGAAAATTTCGGAGCAGTTCAGAATTTGATTGCTCAATCCCTGACACGAAAACAGCTTGTTAGCCACTTTGAAAACAAAACAAGGCCACGTTGCCAAAACATTCTGATCTCTTTCTGTTCAAAGAACAGATTATGCCAATCTATGCATGCTTTACTCAATTTATTCATCGGAGCTTATAAAACTTTAAGACACACATACACACATGTTTGCGTACCAACCTTAATGAACAAAAGGGGGTTATCAAAAAAGAAGACACACGGACAAGTTGTGATGCCACATCCTTTTCAACAGTATGTTGGAAAAGTAAGAAAAAATGTCTGGAAGTTGCAGTCATCTATGCTCATACTTGCTAAACAAAGTCTGTGTAAAGACTATTATTTTTTAAACAAATATATTCATGCATTAGCATGGAACATACATAATGTGGATAACTTTCTTGCAACACAGGTAAGCCCCTTGCAATTTGGGTAGGTGGCATCACAAACATTAAAGACATAAAAATGTGTATCTAGAGATGCTTCCTTTCAGAAAGGAAAAATGATAACAAATAAAAGTCCTGTGGACTATGGTGTAACACCACGTTACCACATTCGGACAGCCTATACTCCACTTAAATCCTTGTGTCTGCTCAGGGGAGAAAGCTTGGTTCCTCTGAAGGCCTGTAAATGTGACTTACAAGGCCAAAGGACAGCACAGAGGATGAACGCACCAGAAGCCAGACATCAGGCATCTGGGGTTCAGCTGAACAGAAGGAATCCAAATATGGTCCCGAATGCTCTCAGAGATAGCCTGCTGTAACACAGAACTCACCTAAATTTGCAAGTTTCACACATTTAATTCTGTTGAGAAAGGAGTGGGATATTTTCATCAACAGAATCACAGTGCTTCAATATCCATCACAGATGGTCTGAAACCTGCCTCATTTCAGAACAGTTTATTCTTCCTACCAAATAGGTAGGCACTAACATGGCTACGTCTTTTACAAAGATTTGGTTTTGGCATGCCATACAGTCGGAAAACCTGTGTGTTTTGTGGGCAAGATTATACTGATACAAATAATTCTGAATTTAATGGAGTTCCAACACAGATCAGTAATAATTATCAGGTCCTTAATGCTGAATTTCTGAAACACTCAGCAAAAACCTGTAAATACAGCTTTATTTACTGTCAGCTCCTGAATCCAGATTCTTTGGTTTCTTAGGCACACACAGAATATGTATGTTAAATAAAGATAAAGCTTCTAAGTTTTACATCAATTTCACAGAAGCATAGGAGTTATAGAAAGAAGGTAAAGCTGTGATGACTATTTTTCTGGTACAAACGCCTTATTTTGATTGTTTAAACAATAAGTGTTTTAAACAAAGATTTGGAAGCATTATTTGTCATGCCATGAAATAATTAAGATGTTGTTCTTATTTTACAATTTACTTAGATAAACTGTTTACTTTTGAAACATTGAAAGCTTCTGCACTCCCATTGATTATATTGGGCATGCTGGCATTTTAAATTGGGGGCTATGCTGCGAGATCAAATAGTTAGGTGTCTCGTTCCTTATGCTACCTAGAAGTTGAAATAACTTACAGAAAATGAAAAATCTTATTGATTGTACAAGTTCTTGTATGTTCTTTTCCAGAAGTGAGGCCCATCATATTGCACAGTTTTTCAGATCCTATTAACCTCCTTCTTTCTCAAAAAAAAATGTTGTGTGGCATAAACAGTTTCTGATTGTTGTGCTACAAAGATGGGAAGAATAATTTCTTAAGGTTGTTAAAAAATAAAATAAAATAAAAGATGCAAATGGGCTTTTTTATCCTCAGAGAATGTAAGCACAGCTGCACCAAGAAGCCTGACCTGAAAAGCACTACCAGCTGTCATTGCATACTTGAACAGGTGTTTATAGGACTCCCTCCCCAGATCTTTACAATGTACAAGCTCGTTTTGTTTATGGTATCCATTTCCCATGCTAAATTATATACAGCACCTTTCAACCTAAAGGAGCAGCAAACAGCTTCCAAACTGTGGCCCCATCCAGTAATCGCCTTGCAGGCTTGGCTTGGGAGCAGCTCTGATTTATGTGTGTTGCCCCCCTCCAGCCAGGAGCTCCCTGCCTTTCCAGCAGCAGTGGAAGAGTTGCAAGCAAGTCAAAGGACAAGCTAGGAATGGGAAATGAGGGAAAAATTGAGCTTTGTCACATCTAGTCTTCACCTGTGGTCTGCAGGCAGCTCGTGCAGTTTTGAATATCCCCAGACTACCCATCTGATGTCATCTGAGACGGGGACTGAAGACAAGACTGGCAAAGGAATTCAGAAGCTGCAACCAACATGAAAGTTGGCAGAAGAGATCTATCCTAGTATAAATAGGATGGATAAATTGCCATAGTGTGCAAAAGAAGTGACCAAAACTTCTGTCTGAAATCAGCACCAAGCTATGTCTTTCTGGGTTTCCAAAAAAATAACTGTGGTTAACATTTCTCTTTTTTATTGTTGCATTTAATTCAGATGGAATCCTGCTGCTCATGGTTCCAGCACACACTGGATATTACCATATAAAACAAAAAAAAAAAAACACACACACACACAACTGTTTGTACATTGTATTTGGCAAGAAGTAAACAGAGCATGAGTTTACAAATAAGCAAACAAACTTTTTTCAACCCCAAATAATTTCAGCTTGAGTTCAAGGCAAAGATTGTACTATACTCTTATACTCCTATGTCAGTGAAAAGCAAAGCCCACCCCCAGAAAACTAACATGAAGTAGTAGGAGTCTGAAAGCATCACTGCTTCATGTAGGAACACCTTGAGAGCATTCCAGTTGACTGATCCAAATCTTGGGATTGGCCTGCAAATGGAAAAATATCCACAGAAAAAGGTACAGCAGCAGCAATCAAACAGCTGCAAGAAGTTCCTGAAGTCAGTGGGATCAGTAAGTTCAGCTGCTGCCCTGTAAGCAGACTGGTCAGAGCTAATGGACTGATTTGTTGGGTGTGTGTTTTTTTTTAACCTACACACCAGATTAGCATGAGATGATTCATTTCTTCCTGAGAAGCCCAGATCTTAGTCACAGGGACAGCTCTGACAAGCTGCATCTCCTCCTGGTATGGTTCCAGCTACACTGCCTGAGATACACTGGAGTCAATGTAGCTTGTTTACTTCAGGTATACTGCTAACTGTCACAAGGATGGAACATTTTTATCTGTAACAAATAATAATTGGGGGGTGGGGGTGGGGGATGGGGGGCTGTTTTTTAAATGTACACATACACAGACACACATTTTCCACTTCTGTGTTTACGTACCCAGATAATGCATGTACATGTGTGTACATGTACAGATATTGGCTTTGAAAAAGAAAAGAAAAAAAAAAAGCATTTTTTATACATGAAACAATTATTTACTGAGAGACACGCCTTTGCTCATGTAAGCTGTAAGTCGAATACACTTCAGTGTATTTCTCATATCTCATTTGATGCTGCCCAGGGCTGCCATCCAGTAGCCAACAACCTGCAGAAACCCTTGGTTTCTGTGGCACCCATGGAACATACAAAAACTTCACTTTCTACACACACAAATGAAAAGCACTGAATCATGGTGGGCTCTCTAGCTTGCCACACACAGGTGTAAGAAGCACCAGCAGTTGAAATATGGCATTGCTTATCAGCATGGAGAGTTCGACTTTGCAACAGAGTCCCAAGGAGTCTTAACATCAAGAATAAATGTTGATTTTGGAATTTATACTCCAATTATATTAGAAGCTACAGAGCTAGATTAAAGGCTATCCTAACACAAACAGACTAGACAAAACATGTCGCAATGTGTTTTAAGGGAAAGAAAACTGTAACTAGGAGATACTGCATGATCCAATCTCACAACTGTACTTTATCGCAAAGAACTCTCCTTATACAGGAACCCATTTAAACAGCACAAGTTTTCTTGTTTTAATAACTTTAATTACTTCAATTATGAGGAAGTTTTCAAAACACTGCAGGGATTTTGAAGCACAAATATTAATGAGACTTGTTCCCAACATTTTCTCTATGTGCTTTCAAAAATCTCCCCTCATCCCTCTCCTATTCCTAAGATATGGCTTATATGGAGAATAAAACCATTACCCTGTAATTTTAAGCCTTTGCATCACTCATGTTGGCTACTTTTCCATATTGTTCCAGGTGTGAAGCTCTGACAGTAAGAGGTACTTATTTTTGTGGAGCTGTAAAAGTTTCCTTGGTGTTGCCAAAACCCAATCTGCAAGCAACACACCAGGTATTTTGGAAACAAACAAACAAACAAAAAACAGCTTGCAAACCAGACCCCTGAGGCCTGCAAAACACAAGAGCTCCAGAATTATTCTCATCTTCTGTTCACCAATTGTTGCTTCCTTGTCCTAACTATTGTACCTCTGAAAGGGAAATACAAAGCACCCAGCCGGTGGAGATGTACGCTGTAGCGTCTCTTAATGCCCCGCATTGAAGCCAAGAGGGCTCATTAGTCATCTGGAGATTTTGCCACAATGCCCGAAGGCATGAAATACCTCCAACAAAGCACCGACTGAGATATGTCAGTGTGGCACTCACTTTGCATCTCTCTTTTGGTGCCTTTCAAGTTGTTTTCTAAACACTTCTTTTGTTGCTGTTGGCATGAGTGCACTTAAAAGCAGCATATCGTTAAGTACAGAGAATGCTCACTGTTTTCTGTCCTTTAAAATCTCTTCCAAGTACTTCCCTGTGAGCAATTAAGCTAACTCCATGGGATACATTTGATAACAGATATTCTTTAGTTTGGGTGACAGTTAACAAGCAAGGCTGTAATGAATAATAAAGTACTTTTTAGTGACACACAGTCCTTATTCACCCTGAGTAGGGACTATTTTTGTGCAAGTTCAACAGAAGACTCTAACAATGCAACTCTCTTGTATAACTTGCACAAAATAGCCATTCATCAAGGAGGATTACTCTCCCCAAAATGGGGCTCTCAGCAGCTACGTGCTGTGGGTGGGGATGCACAATTCCAGACAGGGGTGGAGACCAAGGAAAAGGCATGGGTCTAGCATGAAAATGCATGCTGTGTCAATTCATAAGCATACACACACACACACACACAAAGAAGAAGGAAGGAAGGAACGCTAAATGCAAAAGCTGGAGCTGTCCCAAAAACTTGTATGAAGAGCAACACATGCTGCAAGTGACCACAGCAATATTGCAGGGAACATTTCGCTGAGTATGAGCTATTCTTCCAAGCCCACCCCCTCCCTACAGAGATAAAAGTAGCTCTCAGCTCTCCGATACCAGACCCTGTTGGTATCTTCTACTTTTTCTCAAACATGCTCACTCAAACTCCACGTAGAGTGCAACTGTGCACGATGGGGCTCTTAGGGACATGCTAGAATTAAGTGCTCACTGATCTGCTTCTTTTTGGTGGAGGTGGCTCCCTCAAAATACAACACTGATGTGCATGTATGCACACATGTACGCACGCTATGTCTTCTACGCCCTCCCCAAAGATGTCTAGGTTCCTGTTCCAAATACTGACTTCCCAAAATGTTACGATAATCAGTGTGTAATTTGAGAATCATTCAAAACCTCTTCAAAAAGCTACTCCAGTACTTCTCTCACATGACATCGTAACACTTTTTACCTTAATATACTTAGAGAAAACTAAAATTATGTCTTTTGAATCTTTCCAGTCTTTACTCATTATGCCAGACCTCCTTTTCCTTAAATACAGTTCAGACATGGAAAAGCAAAGTAAAACAAGCAACCCACTACACCAAAGATCACAAAACGTCTAAAAACCAATAAAGTAAAATCCAATTTCAGATATCCAGAACTTTTGAGTCATCAGATTGTTTAAAGGAAAGGCACTGCCTGCTGATGGCAGGAATCACATCTGTTTGCTGTGAGAGGATGAAGAATAAATGCCAGAGGAAATGTTCTCTCTCCTCTCTGAAAATGAACTGGAACTTTTCCTCAGCCTCGGTACATTGCTCTCTCACAAACCAGGGAGTATCTGCTGCTAGTTCCTTTACAGAGGGTGGTAGTCTAACTTCATTTACATGTCTGCTCCCACAAGAGGACTCTTCCCTCCGAGAACACTTTCTATTTTTAGAGGAGGAGAGAGGATTTAAGGTGGGGAAAAAGCTAAATTCTCTTAAGAGACTAGCAATTTTAATGCCCACTTGAAAGGCTATAAAGGTGTTTCAGAACAACTTCGAAAAATCAGGCCACTAACTAGCATCTCAAAACTGTCAAAGAAACCAGAAAATGACCCTTCTAAGAGTTTAGACCACGATGCACATTTTCCGATTGATGATCATGGAATAAAAACATATTTCTAAAACCGAAAAGAAAAGTAAGTTCTTTCATTATATGGTGTACAAATCTTCCAGTGTGCAGCTAGGCATAAAACCACACACTTCCAAGGCCACTATCTATGAAAAAAAAAAATATCTTTTTAGTAGTACATAATGTAAATGATGATATACAATTAATAAATGAAGTGTTTTAAAAATATTAACTATGTGTCTAAGTAAAGAATTAGACACTATTAAAATAGAATTCTGGAACAAGGTATTTGTTTTATATCAGTCTGAATTGCCTGTCCAGAAAAAAAAAAAAAAAAAACTTTTTCAAACAAATTTCGTTTCTTCAAAGTGTTTAGGCCATCCTCTTTGTTTCTCACCTTTCCTTCTTTCAGTGCAGGCACAGAAATATTTTTAACAGACCACCTTTTTTTAAAAGACCTCCTTCCAGTTTAAAAATAAACCTTTGCTGCCTAACTGGAGAAGAAATGGGGATAGTGAAAACACCAAGATGCCAGCAAGCTTAACAGATAGAAGTTATTTCTTCTGTGCCTTATCTACGCCAGAGCGTAACACAATAACTCATAGCACTTTGCATAGCAGATGTTTATGTGTTAAATTAGTGTTTCAGGAAAAGTATCAGCTGTTCTCTGACAGGAGGCACTTGCTACAGTCTTTCCCCTTTCTCTCCCTGTTGTATTTGCCATGTGATGTCTTTGGATGAAGAATGAAATTCTGTATACGCGATATTTTTAAGGATGCTGAAAACCTATGAGGGATGTTGAAAAGAGGCACAAAAGTGCAGTGAGTGCTGGAGAAAATGACCTGCAGTGGGATACATACAGAGCTGGATCTATTTATTTTATGCAAAAGAAAAAAGAGGAGTGACTTGATTACAGCATATAAATTATTTTATGGGAGCTGGGTGAAGGAGACAGACTTTTAAATCTGGTAGAGAAAATGCATATCTGGAATCTGACCCTAGCCAGAAATACTGGAAATGAGGGAGGGCAAAGGCTTGCCACTGCCACAGACTACCAAGGGAAGTGATGGATTCTCCCCTGGTGTCACTGGACACCTTTACTTTGGTTTGGATGCCTTTCCAAAATGCTTGCTTGGAAAAAGAGGATAGCCAAATTTTAGCCAAACAGAAAGTTTGGTTTCTTTTAATGCTTAATATGTGTATCTTCTGAACTGTAGGGCTCCAGCAAGCCTCACATTCTGCACCTCTAAGAGCCATGCTGCTCAATGACTAGAATGGGTTTTCTTCTTATTATTAGGGGTTTATTTGGACTGAGGTTTTCTGAAAAAAAAAATGATCTCCACTTTGAAATACGAGAAAAAAATATTCTGGAAATCATTGGTTTGAACTTAAATAAGACACATATTTCGCTAAACTTGATGTAGTAAACTAATAGGAGAAAATATAGGAGAAAAATATATTTATGCTAAAAGCACCCTTTTCCTAGAAAAGGTTTGATTTTATAGCCTTGACAAACAGTAGGGAGAGATTCTTAAGCATTTGGTTTTCTTATGGCAAAAAGTTAGTTAAAATCCATACTCTTACGAAAGAAAACTCTCAAAATTTAAGCAGCAGCTTCAAAGATCAGCTAGCTCCAGCAAAATGAAGAGACAGCTCCTCGACTGTACCGGGCATTACTCTGCCCTTAAATTGTCTCTATAACAGTTGTTATCCAGGCAAGGAGGGTGACAGGTCGCCACGCCGAGCCTGACTCCCCTCTCTGTCTCACGGGACGTGCTGTCCCTGCTCCCTGGCCCCACAGCAATCCCCCCAGGCTGGGGCTCAGGGGGAGACCGGCGGCGAGGGTCCCTTTCCCCAGTGCCTCTCGGAGCGGAGCTTCGCTGCAAGCCCCGGCTGAGCCCACGTCCCCAGCCACGGCCTCAGCAAAACCTAGACAGCTAAGGGAAAATATCTAGGGATTTACACCAAGGCGGCCGGACTCTTCGGGGGTCACTTTGCCAGGCGAGGGACAAGCGGCGAGTCCTTTTCGGTGGCAAGGTCGGAGCATCTCCGGGTGAGGCGAGGAGGAAGACAAAGGCCGGGGCCAGCGGGGGCTGCTCCCGGAGCCACGTCCATCGGCAGCCCGGGGCGTTATAGGGAGCAAGCAGGGAGCAAGCAGGGAGCAAGCAGGGAGCAAGCAGGGAGCAAACCCGGCCGGCGCCGGGGGAGCCGTGCGGGAGGCAGGGCACCGGGGGGCTGCGGGAGAACCGGGGGTCGGGGAAAGGAGGCTGGCGGGGCAAGGGGGCTCGGGGCAGAGCAGGGGAGCGGAGCGGGGGGTGCCGTCTCGGGGAAGGAGCCGGTCCTTACCTGCAGGTAGGGCTGTCCCCCCTCCACGCCCCCCACCACGATGTCCGCCGAGGCCATGCCGCCGCTGGCCGAGAGCCCGAAGCCCACGTAGCCGCGGGTGCGCACCTCCAGGCGGAAGGCGAGGGCGCTGCCGCGGCGGCCCCAGCGCAGGAGGTAGGCGGCCGCCCCGTCGAGCAGGGCGCTGTGCGGGTAGCTCCGCGACGGGGACCCGGAGCCGGCGGCGAGCAGGGCGACCAGCACCGGCACCAGCGCCCAGGGGCGCAGCCGCCGCATCCTCTCGCCACGCGTGTGAGTGTGCGAGGCGTGTGCGCTGCCCGGGCGGCCCGGGGGGGCCGGGAGCCCCGCTCACCCCGCCCCCGCTGCGGGCGGCACCGCGCCGGCCGGACGGCCCCGTCGGGGGTGCGCGCACCGGGGCCGCCGCCGCCGCCGCTCTGGTCGCCCCCCGGTGTCCGCCCCTCGTGGGGGTCCCGTCGGCAGGACCTCGGCATCGCCCCCTTCCCCCCCCGACGGGGGAAGCCCCGAGGTGCGCCCGAGGTGCTGCCCGAGGTCCGCTTCGCAAAGGAGGCGCTGGGCTGCTGGAGGTGCTTTGTGCGAGGTGAAAGTCACCGGGAAGAGCCCGGCAGCGCTCAGCGGGAGCGAAACGCCTGCTGCCTGGCACCCGGCCGGGGTCTTGAGGGCTGCCGGCACGAACAGCACCGGGGCAAACAGCAGCACACACCGCCGTGTGAGCCACACATCGAACTAAACACCCCTAAAATAGGAAATCTTAAAGAAAGAAAGAAAGAAAGAAAGAGAGAGAGAGAGAGAGAGAGAGAGAGAGAGGCACCAAAAGTTATTTTC